AACGTCTTCGACAGGTACATTGCTGGTTGTGTCCTTTTTGCAATTTACAGCCGGTCAAGATGGTCGGACTTGGCATTCCTAAGTGACCTGGCTTTGGACACGACAGAAACAGAGCTGGGTCGAATTGGTTTTGTGGAAGGCTCAACAAGATTTCAGAAGACTGGCTCCACAGCCTTGAAGCGGGCGATGCAGATGCCGCTGGTGGCACCCATTTGTGGGGTGACAGACAAACTCTGGGCAGTTGAGTGGTTTCACATTTTGGATCAGGTTCAGTTTGACCTAGCTGCAGAACCAGTGGGAGCTATGTGCAGACCTCCCATGAATGGCACATTGGGCACTCGACATTTGTCGTCTGAAGAGATTGGCGATTTCCTCAACCACATGTTGGGGCTGCATGGTGAGAATGTGGTTACAAGCCACTGCATGAAAGCCACAACGCTCACTTGGAGCGCAAAGTATGGCTTGGATGAATCTGCAAGAACGTTGCTGGGTCATCATGAGCTGCAGTCGCAAAGCTTGGCCTGCTACTCCCGCGACATGCTCAGTAGGCCCCTGGCGTTGTATGAGGCTATGCTGATGAACATCAGAACTGGTCATTTTCTTCCAGATGAGACAAGGTCTGGCCGGTTTGTGAGGCGCAAGCCAGATGATGCAGTTTCAGTTTCAGATGCTCCTCCAAAGACCCGTGTGAAGGTAGAGGCTCCTCCCAGTGCCTTTGGATCCGAGGACCAACATGGTATTGACGGTGTTTGCGGTGTTGTGGATCTTACAGAACCCGAGTGGGACCTTTGTGGTGCACCTGGCAGTGAGGCAGAGGATGACCGGGCTGCTCAAGCTCGAGAGTCATCAGATGAGTCGAGCTCGACTTCATCAAGCTCCTCTGCGTGTGAAGAACCGTTGCAACAGAAATACGGTGCTGCTGGTGAGACCAAGGACTGTGAGGAGCCGGTGTATCAGCACAAAAAGAGCCGGGTCTTACACAGGCCTAACAAAGTGTCTGGCTTGATGGCGTGTGGCAGGAAGGTTGGCAGTAGCTACAACTACTTGGAACATGGGGCTTCTTTCAAATGGGCACGGTGTGCAATCTGTTTCAAGGGTGAGGTCATCACCAAGGTTCAGGACCTTGCCGATGCGTTGGAAGCTGTTCATGCCAAGCGACGTGCTCAGAAGTGAAGTTTCATTTGCAGATTTCTTGACCTTTGATTTTGTGCATGTTGTTTCATTCCTTTCATTTGTGCACCCTGTCGACAGACATAGGGACCCTGCGTAACAGCAGGAACTGGTTTGCATCTCAGCCGTAGCTTGGAAAATGTGCGTGGCAGCTCTCAGAAAGGGCACTGAAATGTCAGTTGAATTTGTGAGTGATCAGATGTTTCTTGAGAATGCTCAACCGACATGATGTCAGATGTGCCGTGAATGCACGGTGAAATGGACTCAATTTTTGGAGTCATGTGAGAACACATGTTTGTATCTCATTGCAGAGCTATGGCCACAGCTCGAAGTGCGAATGCGCACATAGGTGTCAAGCCTCAGCATTATCACAACATGATGTCATTCATTTTGCACGACTTGACTTCTGAGATGCTTTCACTGTCTTACTGTTCTCACTGCATGTTTAACTTCAATGTTGTGAATTTTGGTGTGATGAATCCAACAACTTTCTTTTACTGCCCTTCTTAGATCGCGTGTGTCAGAATGGCTAGCAACACTTTGCTTGAATCGGTGGCGGCGTTTGAGTCGCAAGCTAAGCGTGCTGGCCTCAATGAGCAGTGGATTGAAGCGTTTGGGAGGAATGATCTCAACAAGTTAGGGCGTTTGGCATATGCAGTGACAACGCCTGGTGTTGCTCCTACAACTGAACAAGTGACAGACTTCATGAATCATTTGCGTCTTGGTGTGGGCCCTACACTCAGTGAGATAACAGCTGTGAAGCGTGTGTTGTTTGAAGCACAGACGTTGACCATTGCAAGCCTACGTTCAACTGTGCACTCACCTGATGATGCCAGCACACGTAGGGTAGCACCTGCTGAGCGTTCTGCAAGAATCGAAGCCCAGCCTCAGCGACTTCAAGGTTTGGAATTGTCTGGGCCCATGGAACCAAGTCATTGGCTGTATGACCAGTTTTCAGCCATGCTTGAGACTGGTGAGCTGAAATACATATCTCCAGGCAAATGCATGACGCGTCAACAGGAACTTTCAGGTGACAAGCCAGACAAGCAGATCAAGCTTGATGAGACGCGCAGCAGCCTGGTGGTAAAGGACAAACCACATGATCAAGAGACAGACATCACCAGTGACCTCAGTCTGTTGCAAGCTATGACACGTCGTGCATTAGCTATGGATTTGGTGGGCATTGCATCTTACAATACAGTTATGAAGTTTGTGAACCGATTGTTTGCGCTGTTAACCCAGTTACCTGCACCTGGGTTTGGACGTCCAGGGCATGCGCAACTTTTGCGCGCTGACAAGTTAGCAGAGACGATCCAGCACAGTTTGCAAAGCGCTGGCTGCGAGCCAGAAAATGCTGAGCAATCAGCCAAGATGCTGCCTGGGCGGACGCGAATCAGTGAGTCCCAGCTAAAGATTGACGCGGCGCTCTGCACATATTTTGCCAGAGAGTTCTTCGCAAAGTCAATTGGACACTTGTATTTGTGGGCAGACAGCAGCCCACAAGGCGGGACTGATTGGCTGCTGTCAATGCTCAGGATTGTGCCCCAAGAACAGCTTGAACCCAGTGCGGCAGCTGCTCGCCGCTTGCAAGCTTCTGTTCAGGATTTCCAGCTAGCCGTGTCGAACAAAGATTTTGCTTTGTCGATGGAAATAGCAGAAAGACGACATGAAGATGGAGTTTTCCTTTCGAAAGCCATCGCCTTGCACAGGCAAATTCCCCTTGGGCTGGGCAGTGGGGATTCGTCGCTCGAAAAGAAAATGCTTTGCATTTTTCGAAAGGTACTTGCTGAAACACAAGATTTCAAATTGGCGCGGAAAGCACTGAGAAAAGTTGTATGCGTATGCACAGACATGGGCACAGAAGGGGGGCTCTCGCTTGCCCAAGGTCTTAAGCTGACAGAGCTTTGTCCTGCATGGGTTTCGGATGCCAATGCAGGCTTGGTATCCGAAGATGATTGGGTGAACCTGGCCGGCGGCGATTCTGATTCCGACAATGATGAAAGCTCTGAATATTTCCTGCCCAACTCGATACCGTCGCCAGGCTTGCTGCACATATTCCACAATATGGCCAAAGATGTGCACATGAAGCTGAATGGGTTTGATAGTTGGGTTGTAGGTTTCAAAGCAATAGCTGCCCTGCTGCACTACAAACATCTCAGAAACAGGCTGGTGGCGACCTGCGTGCTTGGGACCCCATGGGAATGGCTCCGAGGAAAATTTGACACGGCTGCGCCAAAACCAGCCCTTTGGCGCTGGAACACCATCACCCAAATCTTGCCAAAAATGCTGTCTTTGAAGTTCCTTTTGCAGAAGATTTGGAGAGCGGACAAATTTGCGCAACTTTTTTCTGAGCAAAATGAAGCAGAAGGGGACGGAGCGGAGAGGGAGCCGCAAGACCCGGATTTCAAAATGCAAGCTGTTACAGAAGCCATTGAATCTGAGGCTTGGTGGATGTACACTGCCATGCTCCAGAAGCTTGGGAGTTTCAGCGAAGACTTGAGTGCATGGGCTGAATCCTGCAGTTGTCACAGCTGGTTGCGGCGGACTTCTGCAGAGACCGCTGTCAGTGAAGACATGGGCAGCGCAGGTGCAGAAGTTGCTTCTGAAGTTTCGCCTGGTCAGTATCTAGAAGCAGCGCGCAAAACATTCGGGTTTTCAACAGGAGAAGGTGACGGGCAGGCTTTCGAATGCCCCTTAGCTGGCCAGCGAGCAGTGGAGCTCGCTAGTGGTGAATTGTGGCCGTTATTGGATGAGCTTGAAAAAGGATATGTGCATGAGATCTTGGCATTCAATTGCTGCAACGATGAAGAGGCTGTGCGATCAACCCTTGCTGATTTGGCCCTGGGGAAAAGCACCATGGTGGAATACCTCCGCTTGAAATTGCAATGCTGGGAAGCCTTGCCATGGGTTATGGTAGCCCTCAACCACAGAGATGCTGCTCACGCCAGGCACCTGGCTAAAGGCGCTTTGCAGAGGTTTGACGCTTTGCCCCAAGCCAGTTTGCACCACCGTTTGACCTTAAAGTATCTTGCCGCAGGGACAGAAGGACGAAGAGAAATGGAAGCATTTGTTGGAGGCGCGCCTCTTGAGGACCTACCAACACTTCGCAAATTTGTTTGGAGCTTGCAATTTGCACCGACCGTTGAAAGGGTGCAAGAAGGTGACCATTCTATAGTCAATACTTTTGTGAACAAACGTGGCCGCTTCAGCGGTGCTTTTGTGAGCACAAGATTACGCTTTCAAGAGATCCGTGCAGTAGTTGCTGAACCAAGCAACTGCCGAAAGCTTGCCGCTTGCTATGATCTTGTTGATGACCCTGATGTTTTGGCTCGACAATTAGGGTTTTCAATGCGTCCACTGTGGACAGAAGCCAAGCGCCAGAAATACACAAGGCGGTTGAAGTGCCAAGTGGCAGACCAAGTCTTGTATTCCCTGGACCCAACTACGCAGTTTGTATCTGTGAAGGCAGCTGCAAAGAAGCGGGCAGCCCGCAAGAAGGAGAAGGAGAAGCAAGAAGCAGCGGCTTTGCGCGCTTTTCTTCCACAAGCTGGGCGGCAACGTCAATGGAATATTGGCAACGTGGAGCGGCTCGCTGCCGCACATCATTTGCAAGAGCGGATGGCCCCGCACTGCCTCTATAGCTTCTCCGAAGAGTCATTGCGGTTTTCAACGCTTTGCTCAAAGCTAAGAGGTTTTTCGCCCAACGTGGTGATAACTCTTTATTTCCTAAATCTAAAAAACCGTTTGCCTGAATGCAGGCTATGCGGTTCTGGGGGTCACTTGAAGTATGGGTCTCAAATGTCAACACTGTAATTTCAAACAGTTAACATTTGTCTTGCAACGCTTTTCTTGATGTGTTTTTCTCAGACTGCTGTGCTTCTTTGTCAACACTTATCTTGGGTACATGTCAATGACTTTTATGTTCTCCCACAGTTTATGTTCAAGAGGTGGGTGGGTGGGTTTCGCGTTTTTTAGGACGCCATGTTTGAAATTTGCTGAGTAGGGGTTTGCGTATGGCCGAATTTTTCGACGTGGTGATCAAGGACGTTGAACTGTATGGAGCTGGAGCAGATACATCTGAACCTGTTCCAGTGGTGAATGCAAACAGACGTGTTGCAATTGCAAACGCAAACAATGACAGTCTGGTTGATTCTTTGACAGTTTGGAGCCGTACGCATACAGATGTTCAACACCCTACTGACAGATTTGATATTCCTGATGTTGATGATTTGTCGCATGATGCTCAGGTTGACGCAGCATTGCATGGACTTGTGGACGAAGGTGCAGCATGGATTGGCCAACAGGTTGATCGGGCTTTGCAGGAGGCGCATTTTGTCAACAGTCGGAACCTCACTCAGTCACTGCCGTGGGAATCCGGAGTTTTTGCAACAATTTTTGGAAGCAATGACGATTTTTTGGCATCCAATTTGGCTTCATGTCCTTTGCCTCCTGACCTCGAGGATGCACAGCCAACTGAGTCAAGTGTTGATGCTTTGACAGGTGTCTCAAGTAAGATTCTGAAGCGTGACCGCACTGACTGCATTTTTTCACAGGTCGTCAAGTTGAAACGTGATGTGGATCATCTTACAGCCATAGAAGAGTCATGGACGAAAGCACTGAAGAAGTGGCACACTGTTTTGGCATGTGCTTGCTATACAGGTTTAGTTGGTGCAGCAGTCAGGGATGCAGTGAGCGATGGAAGGGACTATGGTAGTATCCTCAGGGATGTGTTTGGCAACAAATCGCCGCGCACTGCAAACAAACGAGCATCAACCATGCTAGCACTTTTTGCGTGGCTGGACAAGAAGAATCTCAGTGTGTGGCCAGTCAGATCTGATTATGTTGCAGCTTACTTGAATGAATCAAGTGTGGGTGGCGCTGGCAGCACAAAGGGAAAAACATTGATGGAAGCCTTCCGTTTTTGCAAGCATGTCATGAGGCTGCCAGATCTGGATGAGATCATTGATGATCCTGTGCTGTCAGGTAGAGTGAGGCGCATGGATGCTGCAAGGGACACAATCAAGCAGAGCCGACCGCTGACTCTTGCTGAGGTCAAATTCATAGAGGAGTTCATGATGTCTGACATGAACGTCTTCGACAGGTACATTGCTGGTTGTGTCCTCTTTGCAATTTACAGCCGGTCAAGATGGTCGGACTTGGCATTCCTAAGTGACCTGGCTTTGGATACGACAGAAACAGAGCTGGGTCGAATTGGTTTTGTGGAAGGCTCAACAAGATTTCAGAAGACTGGCTCCACAGCCTTGAAGCGGGCGATGCAGATGCCGCTGGTGGCACCCATTTGTGGGGTGACAGACAAACTCTGGGCAGTTGAGTGGTTTCACATTTTGGATCAGGTTCAGTTTGACCTAGCTGCAGAACCAGTGGGAGCTATGTGCAGACCTCCCATGAATGGCACATTGGGCACTCGACATTTGTCGTCTGAAGAGATTGGCGATTTCCTCAACCACATGTTGGGGCTGCATGGTGAGAATGTGGTTACAAGCCACTGCATGAAAGCCACAACGCTCACTTGGAGCGCAAAGTATGGCTTGGATGAATCTGCAAGAACGTTGCTGGGTCATCATGAGCTGCAGTCGCAAAGCTTGGCCTGCTACTCCCGCGACATGCTCAGTAGGCCCCTGGCGTTGTATGAGGCTATGCTGATGAACATCAGAACTGGTCATTTTCTTCCAGATGAGACAAGGTCTGGCCGGTTTGTGAGGCGCAAGCCAGATGATGCAGTTTCAGTTTCAGATGCTCCTCCAAAGACCCGTGTGAAGGTAGAGGCTCCTCCCAGTGCCTTTGGATCCGAGGACCAACATGGTATTGACGGTGTTTGCGGTGTTGTGGATCTTACAGAACCCGAGTGGGACCTTTGTGGTGCACCTGGCAGTGAGGCAGAGGATGACCGGGCTGCTCAAGCTCGAGAGTCATCAGATGAGTCGAGCTCGACTTCATCAAGCTCCTCTGCGTGTGAAGAACCGTTGCAACAGAAATACGGTGCTGCTGGTGAGACCAAGGACTGTGAGGAGCCGGTGTATCAGCAAAAAAAGAGCTGGGTCTTACACAGGCCTAACAAAGTGTCTGGCTTGATGGCGTGTGGCAGGAAGGTTGGCAGTAGCTACAACTACTTGGAACATGGGGCTTCTTTCAAATGGGCACGGTGTGCAATCTGTTTCAAGGGTGAGGTCATCACCAAGGTTCAGGACCTTGCCGATGCGTTGGAAGCTGTTCATGCCAAGCGACGTGCTCAGAAGTGAAGTTTCATTTGCAGATTTCTTGACCTTTGATTTTGTGCATGTTGTTTCATTCCTTTCATTTGTGCACCCTGTCGACAGACATAGGGACCCTGCGTAACAGCAGGAACTGGTTTGCATCTCAGCCGTAGCTTGGAAAATGTGCGTGGCAGCTCTCAGAAAGGGCACTGAAATGTCAGTTGAATTTGTGAGTGATCAGATGTTTCTTGAGAATGCTCAACCGACATGATGTCAGATGTGCCGTGAATGCACGGTGAAATGGACTCAATTTTTGGAGTCATGTGAGAACACATTTTTGTATCTCATTGCAGAGCTATGGCCACAGCTCGAAGTGCGAATGCGCACATAGGTGTCAAGCCTCAGCATTATCACAACATGATGTCATTCATTTTGCACGACTTGACTTCTGAGATGCTTTCGCTGTCTTACTGTTCTCACTGCATGTTTAACTTCAATGTTGTGAATTTTGGTGTGATGAATCCAACAACTTTCTTTTACTGCCCTTCTTAGATCGCGTGTGTCAGAATGGCTAGCAACACTTTGCTTGAATCGGTGGCGGCGTTTGAGTCGCAAGCTAAGCGTGCTGGCCTCAATGAGCAGTGGATTGAAGCGTTTGGGAGGAATGATCTCAACAAGTTAGGGCGTTTGGCATATGCAGTGACAACGCCTGGTGTTGCTCCTACAACTGAACAAGTGACAGACTTCATGAATCATTTGCGTCTTGGTGTGGGCCCTACACTCAGTGAGATAACAGCTGTGAAGCGTGTGTTGTTTGAAGCACAGACGTTGACCATTGCAAGCCTACGTTCAACTGTGCACTCACCTGATGATGCCAGCACACGTAGGGTAGCACCTGCTGAGCGTTCTGCAAGAATCGAAGCCCAGCGTCAGCGACTTCAAGGTTTGGAATTGTCTGGGCCCATGGAACCAAGTCATTGGCTGTATGACCAGTTTTCAGCCATGCTTGAGACTGGTGAGCTGAAATACATATCTCCAGGCAAATGCATGACGCGTCAACAGGAACTTTCAGGTGACAAGCCAGACAAGCAGATCAAGCTTGATGAGACGCGCAGCAGCCTGGTGGTAAAGGACAAACCACATGATCAAGAGACAGACATCACCAGTGACCTCAGTCTGTTGCAAGCTATGACACGTCGTGCATTAGCTATGGATTTGGTGGGCATTGCATCTTACAATACAGTTATGAAGTTTGTGAACCGATTGTTTGCGCTGTTAACCCAGTTACCTGCACCTGGGTTTGGACGTCCAGGGCATGCGCAACTTTTGCGCGCTGACAGGCAGGCTTTCATGAGGCTGGCAGAAACAGTGTCACCGCCTTACCACATCAATGCAGCTGGAGTTTTACCACTTGATTTGGCATTTGATCAGTTGCACAATGATGTCACAGTGACATATCATATGCTGCCGGTGCCCTTGGGACGCCACCGTGATGATGATAAGACCTCGAATGCGACCAGTACAAAGACTCCCCCAATCAAGAAAACGCCCGGGGGTAACAAGACTGGAGGTGCCCCTAGCTCCAAGGGCAAAGGGGGAGGCAAGAACAAGAGACAGCCGATGCCACATCAGCTTCATGGGATGCATCACAAGACGCCTTCGGGGAAAGCAATCTGTTTCAACTTCAATTTGGGCAAGTGCAAGGATAAGAAATGCCCTCGTGAACATGTGTGTTGCATGCCAGGGTGCTACAGGAACCACCCTCAGACGGAACATGAGGGCCAATGAAAACAGGCTGGCAGAGGATCCAAAAGGGACTTTGTGCAATGCTCTACGACAAACAATGTGCCTAAGATGCCAGCTAATGATGGAGCAACGCACAATCCTGTCGAGATACCTCTGGAAGGCTGCTTCGGTATTGAACTGTTTTGCGGTACAGCTGGCCTCACTGCGTGCATCAGGACACTTCTCCCTGATAGTTTTGGAATTGATCACAAAGTGAAGCATCCCAAAAGTCAGGTGATTTGCTTGGACCTTCAGAAACCTGAAGTTCAAGAGATGGTCATGCAATGGGTGTCAGACCCGAGATGCGTTTGGGTCCATTTTGGGATTCCATGCGGTACAGCTTCTCGTGCACGGGAGCGTAGGATGTCAAAGACACATTTTGGGCCACGGCCGATGCGGTCAAAGCACTTCCCAGATGGACTACCTCCACATTTGCTGAGTCAGAATTCGCGTGACCGGCTCAGGGCAGCCAACAGGTTGTATCACTTCATGCAAAAGCTCATTTTGAGCTTGCCTTCCACTACAGTTTGGACCATTGAGAATCCGTTGCGAAGCTGGCTTTGGCAAACCTCATATTTCCAGCAAATCCAGGAGCAGACCAAGGTTTTGTTTTTTCAGTTTGATATGTGTATGTTTGGTGGCAAACGACTGAAGCGTACTGGCATCGCCACCAACTGTGAGAACCTGGGTTCTTATGCAATTCAATGTGATGGTTTACATGAACATGCACCTTATGAGTTTCGTGATGGGCAATTTGACACTGCTTTGGAAGCCGAGTATCCAAAGAATTTTTGTGAAGTTTTGGTGCGTGGGGTGGCAGAGCATTTACAGAAACTCCATCAGTGGGGTCCTTTAGACCTTGCCAAGCGTGTAAAACTGGCACGGTCGGCTGCAGTGGCTACGAATCAACAGCCAAAACGTATGCCACAGCTTGTACCTGAATTTCAAAAGGTGCTACAAGTACGTCATGTGCCCAGAGCTGTCGATATTCCTTTGGATTCGAAGCGAAATACAATGCAATGCCATAATTTTCTATGTGACAATGATGAAATTTTCATTCCATGCCAGACTCGTATGCTTCGCCGCACTCCTCAAAAGGGGTGTACCAGTTGCGGCGATAGTACTGTTGCCATGGACTTGCTGCAGGCGAATGTTACACAAAGTTTGGGTGATGGTATGACGGCAACAGAGGACAAAACTGACAAGGACTGCAACCAATGTGCAGGGGTCCGGCAGGTGAAATGTGACAAAGAGGTTGAATCGGATGAACTTATTTTTGGTCGTTTTTGGTCACCTGAGTTTTTCTTGGAACAGGTAGCACTTGCGGGACACCCTCAACACCTCATGTCAGGGATTTCGGATGTTATGCAGGTTGCGGTTGATGCCAATGTACACTGGTCTTATCACGACATTGTCATTCACAGATGCAAATGGTTTGGCAAGTACCTACCAATGGCCGCAGCTTTGAAAGAGAAGGAAGCTGCCATCTTACAAGACATGCCTGGCCCCATGAGGAGCATCATGTCTGCAAAGCGCATTGCTTTGTTGGAGCGTATCTTGCAGGACGAAGGGTATCCCGACATTGGCCTGGTGCAAGATCTCAAGCGTGGCTTTGACTTGGTGGGTGAACTGCCGACTGGCGGCGGGATGCTGCCAGCGAAACTTGTTCCTGCTACTATGGCGGTGGGCGAGCTTGCCCCTAACGCTGGCAGGGCTCGCGCTGCCATGAGGACAGCTAGCGCGTCTTGTGGAGATCCAAACTTGGATGAGATGCTTTACCAAAAAACCCTTGATGAAGTCGAGAGGGGCTGGCTTCTTGGCCCCCTACCCTGGGATTCGCTGGAGCCAAATGCAGTTGTCTCAAGGCACTTCTTGCAGCAGGGTGAGAAGCTTCGTCCAATAGATGATTACAGTATGAGCTCAGTGAATGCAACAGTTACGGTCAAGGACCAGGCTACAGCTGACAACGTGGATGTAATTTGTGCTATGATGTTGCAGCTTATGACTGGGCTGCGCAGTGTTGGACGGAGCACGGAGTTGAAAGCTCGCTCCTTTGACTTGGCTGCAGCCTATCGGCAGTTGTGTGTGGCTCCGACATCAAGGGCTTTCTCATACATATGTGTTTACAATCCGCGCAAGCGGGCCAATGAGGTTTTTTCGCAGGTTTGCTTGCCAATTGGGTCAAAGGCAGCGGTGAACGCTTTTATACGATGCTCCAGATGCATACAGTGGCTTGCTTGTAAGTGTTTGCTTTTGCCTACAACATGTTACTATGACGATTTTGTGGTCATTGCCAATTACAGAGCAGCAGTGAGTCAGCCATGAGCTTGCTTTTCGAAATGTTGGGGTGGGCATATGATAAAGAAGGGCCGAAAGCTGACACTTTTTCTGAAGTGGTGGCGTCTTTGGGTGTTTCAATTTCCCTGGCCGAGACCATTGCTGGGGAGATCAAAGTTATGAACACCGAGAAGCGCAAAAAAGACTTGGTTGAGCTAATCACCAGTGTTGTGAACCTGGGCACCCTGCAGTACAAGGAGGGCCAAGTCTTGAATGGTAAGCTGACTTTTGCACATGGCCAGATATTTGGACTGGCCGGCAAATATGTTTTACAAGCGGTGTCAGATCATGTTTATGCAAAACCTTTCAAAAATGCTGTGAGCGATGAACTGAGATATGCTTTGCAATTTTTTCGAGACCGTTTGCTGACGGGCCTACCGAGGTCTATTAACATGGCTACCAGACATACTCGATTTGTTTTGACTGACGCCTGCCTTGAGGCGAATTTGACAGGTGGCATCGGTGGGGTGCTGTGCAGCCCTAAGGGGCAAGTTGAAGCTTGGTTCCAACTCAAGTTGGAATCCAACCAGGTTGAACACTTCATGGCTCAGCTGCAGGAGAATGCGATCGCTGAATTGGAAACCCTTGCTACAGTTGTGGCGATGAAACTTTGGGCATCGGTGTTATGCTCACAACATGTCGTTTTCTGCCTTGACAATGATGTTGCAAGATTTGGTTTGATAAAAGGTTACTCAAAAGCGCCATTTGTAACATTGCTGGTGCGACTTGCCTCCACCTTGTGCGAGGAAGCGATGATACTGCCTTGGTTTTTGAGGGTTGCCTCACCTTCTAACATTGCCGACTTTCCGTCTCGTCTTCAGAGGCATCCTTTGTTGAAAAATCAAAAGATGATTGCACACAACGTGGTGCTGGCAGCTTTCCAATATGCACTGGAGTTTGTTTTCCGTCCCCATAAGTGATTG